TAAATATATTCCCGTCTCCACACAAAATAACAAGATTTCCAAAATCCTCTATAATGTCACCAATGTCATTAAAATAAGCTGGTTTATCTGTATTTGGGCCATAAATAGTACCCAACGTAAAACGTTGGTTTTGAACTGTCAAATCAAGAAACATATAGTTCCCATTGCTATCCCCTTTAAAACCATGGATTGTATGTTCAAAATTATTTTTCAAAAAAATCCCAACACCCCGAGAGTCGCCCTTATATGGGCTAATGAAACATTTATAACCCCATTCACTTTCCCATTTTTCTTCCTTGCCCACCTGACAATGAATATCTTGTAAACATACAATTGAACATTCTTTTTTTAACAATCTAAATATATCATGTCTCTTCTCATTTCCTGCACAACCTCGAACATTTAACGACAGAAAATTAATATTGTTAATCATGTTGGAAAGTTCGTGACAAATATACCCCACTGCCACATGACAAACAGGTGAAAATAAACTAAAAAAAGAGAAAGGAAAACAAAAGAAACACACAATACATACATCACATTCCAGCAAAGCAAAACTAGGTTTAACAACATGTTTTGCGAAATACAAACAAAAATGAACCGCTTTATCAGCACGCCGGTTTTTATAGTATTTATTGAATTAATAAACGAAACACGACTCAAAATATTCTAATAGTTTATAAGCATATTGCTATGATTAATTCTAATCATGCCTAGTATAAAATTAAAGGAAAACACGCCAAAGAAAGTGAAGTGATCACCATCAAATTATTATAACCTGGGAAGTTTAATAGAAAAGTTTATACCATTAAGTTTATTTATCAGCAGATTTGTCTATTCCAACCACTCTTACTTTGCCTGAAGATCCCGGTACTTCAGCACTGCCGGGTATGCGATGAACGAACGACAGCCGGGTTTCTCCAACTTTAACTCTCGCATTTTAGTTATTAGTCCGTCTAGCCTTCCGGGTGTCCTCTGAAAAATCCTGAGAAATGTAAATATCGTTGCCTTCAAATGGTTTCCCCTTCAGGCATGCAGTGCAGCATTTCTACAAACCATTTCTTTCACCTTGTACCGGAGAATTGCAACGTATATAGGACGTGGCTTCTTGTTATTGGAGGGCAAATATGATGGATTTCTATGAGCACGCTCAATTTCAACTGGGACGTCAAGCTCCATGTGTTGTTTAATAAAACTTGTAATAAACTTATGGCAATCACCACTTTCCGATCTTTGCAGGAATATTATAGAAAATCAAAATTATTTCTACGGCTTCTATCCTCATTTTGTACTTGCCGTGCGGTAATGGCTTCAGTGGTGGACACATCTGGGTTTTTTTAATGCTTTCCCGAAGATTCCAAACTTCATTGTCTATCATAACAAGAGATTCGCCAATTTCTGCTTGTTGTTGATTCATACACGACACATCTTTTTCTATTTCTTCAATTCTCGATAGTTTCACATCCATTTTATCCAATCTTGTTAATATCAAATCAAGTTTATCAGAAACACTAAGTAACATACCACCATCCA